TAAATATGTACTTGTCTGTGTTTATTTGAGGTAGTGTGGTTCCCAGGGGAAAATTTATTTTATAAATTAGGTATTTATTAGTGCTAGGGATTTGCGTACATATGATGGGGTTTAGACCTTGTGTAGTAATTTCCGTAATTATTGTTTGAACTGGATAACTTGGGAGTCTTTTTAAGACTACTGCCACTGCTTTTTTATTTTGTAGAAAATATGTGTGGAATTGGATGATTTCTTTCCGACGGTCTTCCTTAAATTGCTTGAAGTTGGTGGATTCCTAGTGAAATTGAATTTTGACCGTATTGTTTGTAATTTTGGCATGGAAGTTTGTGGAGTATACTAGCGCCACTGTTCTTTTCCGATCAACAGACAAGATCATCCGTGACTGCAATTAGCTACAGTCAGTAATACAGGCTTAAGTAATACAGAGAAGTCACTTATGTATTATTTGTTCTATATTTCCATTTAAAATATTTCAGAATATGCTTTAATTAAAGCAATTTGTGGTTAACAAAAGATACATTGCTGAATGAAAACATTGTTTATTGTCCATGAATACCAGTGGCAGATTAACCCCCGAAAGAAGTGTCGAAATTGGCAAAATGTGTATCTTATGTTCACTTTTTCGAAACGAAAGAGATATGGAATACAAGATGCAACGAACTGTCAATCATGAGATCACAAAAACTCGTCACTTTGTTTCATACCGATCTTCGTGAATCGATGTTCTGCTGCTATTACCCTCGCTTACTACGTGTAATATACAATTACGGAATAAAGTATTCGTACACTTTTTAAAACACTGTAAGTTTTTTAAAATTGGACTAAACGACTTGAACCTCTTTTTAGATGATAGAAAATGACTAAAGTGCTATTTTCTAATTTTGTTATTACTTAAAATGACAAAATAAATAAAAAAGCACATGATCTTGAACATTTTTATCTGAATTTATAACGAAAATTTGTGATGTCGGTAACATTTATGCATGGTGAAAGTTTCATCGAAATCGGTTGGCGTTGCTAAAAGTTGCAAACAATTAAAAATCGCAAAAATCACAGTTTTATCCCGATTTTTGACACTTTAGATCAATAAGTGTAAGAAATCTGCAATTTCTTAAATCTTTTCACGCTTGTAACTTGGCTTTGCGATAACCGATTTCAATAAAACATTCAGTATGCATATATGTTACCGAGTCATGTACTTTATGGTAGAGCTATGTGCTCTGGATCTTTGAGTGGATCACGGAACTGCGAACCGGTCAAGTTGAATTTTGTGTGAACCAACTGACTCGCTCTAGCCGTAATGACAGAGAGAGGCTATAGTATAGTCGTATTGTTTAAACTAAACACTATATCGCGGAAAGTAACCGTAAGGACAATTTAGTCTATCCGTAGAGTAGGCTAATTGTACCGTACTTCGTAGTATTATTTTACTGGGCGCGATTTATAGATTACCCATACACAAAGTTGGATCAAGGCTCGAACAGAGTAAAAACAAGGTCGACTCGAGGTAAAAATGTAGACTGCTTTTATTTTGTACAGAGGGTCCTTACATAAGTTTGTCTTATCGTGCTGTTTTTGGTGGTCTGAGGGATAAGTCGATCGGGTTAGTCATGGTTCAAGGATGAGGTTATCGGGTGTGTCATGGTACAAAGGGCCAGATAGATGAGAAAGGTATGTTATGCAGATTTGTCATGGATGAAGTGGCTAGATGCGTCACAAGTGCATATGGTGTGTGCCTGTTACCCGCATCGGTAAAACAGATTATGAGAAAATGTGTGGTCGGGCGGCCAGAATAGCTCGATTAGATAAAACAGTCGTCCGACATGCCGAAAATCACAGGTTTGAATCCCGGGCCCGATCTTTCCGAACGGTCGACTTTTCCCGTCATTTTCTACAAATTTCAGAAGTGGGATTAATGGCCCATGTATCCCTGACGCGTTTTGACAATTTAAGATTCAGATTTCGGACAAAATAAGTGTCGGAAATAGTCGCCGAGCTGTGATAGAAAAAGCGCGAACATGTTAATAAAGTTTAATTATGTATGCAATTAGACGTCTAAAGGGCGCCTTAAAAACGTCCATAAGACGTCTTGATTTGTAACACAGAAGCTTTCGATATTAATCCTTTTGTTGTTCAACCCTAAATTGTTGAAGTTGAGATCATCTAAAGGCCATAATACAGCAGCTCGTTGAATTCTTTTTTTCATCACCAATAACCCTACGAAGTCAAAAGTGCAAGGTGCCATTTAGAAAAGTCAAGCTGACCTTGACTCAGTAGAAAAACAATAGTTTCTGAAATTTATTATTTTTCAACATGTAGCCGACTAAATACTGATTAATTTTCATTCGACACATTTTGCTTGTCAAAATGTAGAAAGTGCTTGAAAAATCGTGGCAACAGATATGTGCCACATCCTGTATAATAAATCATTTTTTAATATACCAAATAAGAAACAATTTAACGAATATACACGACATGTAGAGAGAAATAGAGTTTCTCATGTACCCCATCTTGTAGCCGTCTGTAACATGCAGTCCTGTGTTTAATAAAGACAGAAACAAATTAAATAGGTGCCGCTTACCTGTTAACATATTCCATTCAATTTGATAAACTATACGTAAATAAATTTTATAATACAATATTATAGCACTGACCAGATTTTTATACATTTTTTAATTCTTGCTAAAAAATTCTTGTAATAGAAACTATTTTAAATCTTACATTTTTATCAGTTTTCTATGGTTCTTCATTTGAACTCATTTGTTAGAATATATGTACTTTGCGATTGTTATATTCTAGTGATGATTCAAACCAATTTCGTTCATTTCAAGAACTTAACAAAACAATTTTTATTCGTACACTTTTCATTCACTTTTAGACCATGAGCAAAAACATTCGTAATAAATATTCGTAAATATTGCGCTCAGAAACGTAAGCTTAAAAGGAAGCGCTTGGAAGATGCAAAAAAAATTGTCTATAGCAGCGTTTTTAAATAAAACTAATGATAATGCTAAGGAGAAAATAAATGAAAAAGAAGATTTGGTAACTATGGAAAGTTACAAGCAGACGGTGAAGAAAAAAGAAAGAAGGAGGAAGAAGATAACTGCGAAAGAAAAGAAGAAATTTTTCAACAGACTCAATCAGAAATTTGTTTACCCACATTTTCAGAAAACGGTTTTCCTAGTGACATAGCCCTTTGGCCTAAATTGATATCTGATAATATGATTAATTATTTCATAAATAACATACCGACTCATATCGGAAATATTGATAATCTAAAAATTCAGTATTCAGATAAAAATATAATTTACTTTAGATGTCTGTCAGAAGCTAATTTTGACTGCATAAAAGCAAATGGGGCAAAACAGATGAGGGAGTGGTTATTTTACTTGGAAACATCTAAATGTTTTTCTAGATTTATCCTAGATCTCAAAATCGAGAATTTGAAGAATATATACCATATAAAGATATTGATACAGAACTGTTTCAATGCATGCAACCTTCGTCTGTTCCACAAACCTAGCGCATGACAGAATTTCCTAGCGACCATGGTTCAAGAGAACTAGAATGGACACTTCAATATCGAAGTGTGCAGTTCAGGAGTGGAACATTTAGGTTTCCAAATGCCTAAGCTACGTAGCTGTGGTCTCCGAAATGTGTATTTTTAAGTCATTGTTGAGATATTTAAGATATTCGGCCAGCTTAGCATCTGTCACAGTCGCGCCGCTTCCTAAGCAAGCGTGACGTCACGATACGTTTTACCAATACTGGCGCTTCACTATCGAAGTAAACAGATCGGGAATGGTAAATTCTATTTCTTACAAGTCTAAGCTATGTCACTTTGCTCTTCGAAATGTCCACATTTATGCCATTGTGGAAATATTTTCAATATTCGGCAGCATACTGCTTGTCACGATGTACAGTAAATTTTCTGTAATTGTCCCTCAGCTTGTAAACAAAAATGGACAATTCAGAAAGAGGAGATAGGATTATTCGAGCCTTGCAGTTCGTTTTTATAGTTGTTGACCAACCGTTAACATTATAATCGTTACGAAGATTTTGATATATCACGTATTCCACAGTTTTATATTGTGGGTAGGAAAGGGTTCGATTCTATTGCGATATTGACTCTTTGCGATATTGATCATCTCCGTATTTGCTCTGGTAAAATTTCTAAACAACCCTGATTAATAAACCAACGTCGACGAGTCCATTCCAAATATCCTTCAAACAATTCCTTAATTTACGATGGTCTCTATTTACTATTGAGGACTCGGAAAAAAGACTCTACTAAACATGCGACAACAAAGTCTGGAAATCATCAACTCAAAAATAGCTTCGTCGAACGAGAGTCGTAAATTACGTTGGTCGTTTGCACGAAAGAAAAACTTTCTCTTGTGCGTGCGACCGGATGCTACAATATCTTGATTTTCGTATCCTTAGTTAAATAATCGCTTCTTTAAATGTAAAACTGTTTAATATTACATAATATACTTACTGAGTAGACAAAATCAAGTATATATATATATAACTTATGAAGAAAATGTCGAAAGTTTGGTTTTTATTATTTGCGATATTGTCCCACCCCTACAAAAAATCTGACAAAAATTGACAACACTGCTTTTGATATTTTCCTTCAATAGAATTTAAATGGCGAGAGCAACATTTTTTGTTTTCGAGAAATCTGTAATTTTTTCATTTTTTCAACCACATTTTACAACCGAAAAATCTGAAAAAAATTTCTAACATGCGGCCTATTATCCAAAATAGGTCAGATTTTGTTCAAGATATTAAGAAGCCACCGAGAGGGGAAATGGACAGAAAGGCGCGTGATATAATTTACCCTGTAACTACCCTTTCGAAAAAGCTAGAGTGTTGAAATTTTTTATAGATGGGTTTTTCTTGGTCACCTATCGAATGGTGTAATGTGTGTTGAAAAACCGCAAAGAGCAGATTTGACCATTTTATCCGTTTGTATATTCCTTTGTATAAAGACAAAATCTTGGTTGTAATATTAAGTATATAAAAATTACGTTAATTTTAAAACGTTTCATCTTTTTGTCCGACAGTGTAGGTATAAGCACCGCGAAGGTATAAACTGTAGATTAAGCTCGAGTATTCCGAATCGAATAAAGCTATTTATTAATACCGTTTGCAGGGTCGTATACCTTCATTCGAGTCTCCCCGTACCCGGCCAACCGACTATACCAGCGCTTTCCCAAACAAGCATTGCACCTATCAATGACAGAACCTATTAATAATATTCTAACATTAAAATTGGGAATAGTACAAACGTGTAATGAAATGACAGACGTACAACGTCAATCGGCTACTCGTTCTGTCATTGATAGGTGGAATACTTGTTTCCAAGTTGGAGGTAGTCATTTGGAACAACATATGTAAATAATTAGTTATCTTTAGCAATACATACAACAACTTTCTTCAGTAATATACGTGATCGATAAAACTGAATTATTATTTCGATAGCGTACATTGCTTATTGTAAGTCCTACAAGTCGACAATTTTGGTTATTGATATAAGGATTAAAATATGATGCTGTACTAAATATTGCTTCAAATACTGAACCAAATTCTGATCGTGAAAAATCGCGGAAAACGCGAATTAATAGAACTGAGGCTGCAGGATGTTTGTATCCCCAAAGAAGAAAAGTGCATAATATACCATAATATCATGAGCGGTGATACACACACACACACACACGCGCGCGCGCGCGCACACCAAGTGCATATCGTTTTTATTTTAACGTCTATACATATATTTTATACATACATCTACACGGATTTCAATAATTTTAATTCTCTTTTTAGTAAATAACGTAGATTTAGAACAGCAACTACAAGCAGTGCAGGATAAGTTACGATACTTAATACCTGCAAGATAACACTCTGCACAGAGTTTTTCCCAGTGTTTTTAATTAAATTTGAATTCTGCAAAACTAGAATTATTGCAGCAACAACAGCAACCGCAACCACAACAGTATCCACAATTGCTACAGCTGGAGAAAGAATGAACCATGGAAATGGTGCACCAGCCTCCACGTGAGTGATACTTTAGCATTTCACAAAAAATTACATGAAAGATATTGTAGTAGAAACAACAAATAAATGTCTGCATTTACTTTTTATACTTTCATAAATTATCTCTGCATTTATTTTTTATAAATTACTATATCAATAAATCTCTGAATTTAATTTTTGTACCTCACTATTTCAGTTTCAATAGATAATAAATAATGCATAACAATAACATTCTTTTTGTATCTAGAAACATCTGTCGGAAGAAAAAGATAGCTTCACATGAGGTTTTAGCAGAAGAGCAGTACGAAGAGGAGGAGACAACTACTTTGTAATAATAAATAAAAAATACATAAACAAGAATAATATACTAATAATTAAAATTAACATTTATACTAGGAAAATTAAAACGGGAACTGAAACTTGAAATGTAACTTAACTTTACATATATTATACATTTGTGTTTATTAAGTAGAAAATAAAATAATAATAAATATCTTAATCACACTTGGTATATCCAAATTCTGGAAATTGCCAACATGTGCTTTCTGCTTCATTCATTCAATTCTGCTTTCATGATAATTTAAAAGATTACAAACTAAGTTCAAATATTCACTATGAAAATAAACATTAAAGATTCATTTTCTAGTATAATCACTGAAAAACTATAAGTCTATTTCTTGCATATGCTGTCTTGGATACAATATTTTATACAGCATTACATTTGAATACTTGCTACAGGCTCCAGGCAGTATTAATGAAATGTCTTGAAAAGACTCATGCATGAGTTGAATGTTCTACCTTTATTATTCGTATCCACTAATACTTTCTTAAATTTAGATTTTTAAGGAATCTGTAATTAATATAAAGTAAGGAACAATAAGTAAATACTAATTATTTTACAACTGTTATGAAAGAAATCTTATGCGTCATAATTACTAATAAACAATAAATATTCATTTCATCTGTTATAAGTTATGCAATACGGTATCAAATATTAGAGTAAAAAATGCTTATTGACAAGAAGATTCATTCGTAGTAATCCAGTATTTTTTTCTACTTTTAATATAGCACATTTGCACAGTCTTGAATCATTTATAATTAATATTCACTTTATAACCAATTAGGTCTCCACCTCGCGTAAAAGTAAATAGCGTCCGCCATGTTGTGTTATATTTGACAGCTACGTTACGTACCTGAAGTGTCAAAAATCTGTCTGACACTGTTTTTTCATTTAATTTTCGATTATCTATGACGATTCGCCAACGTTGTCCAGTTGTTTACCAAAGGGATCAGATATTTTTGGAATAATCCACATACTGGTGAATTATATGGAGATAAAGGTTGTTGAATTATGTCACTTTCAAGTAAGGAGTTTGTTTTTTAATCTCCTCGTTATAAGCTAAAGGAAATTTGTACTGTCTAGTATGTATTTACAGGTAAACCTAGTTGTTATATTATGTTGGCCAGCATTTGAGAAACCTAATCTGTCTTTTGAAAGATGAAATCGATAGGGAAATTCATTAATAATTTCCAGAAGACTGATTTTTTCATTATCATTAAGGTGTTTTAGATCTAACTCTTTCAATATTTCAGTGAATCTTTGAGCACAATCTTGCTCTTTATCCTTTTTGAATTGATCGAGAATCAGATGGATGGGAATGAAATTCTTCGAGTTTAATTGAAGGAATACAACATGATTAATAGTACTATTAATAACAAATAATTTTACTTAAATATTTTGTTTAGTACAGAAAAGTGCTAATAAAATTCCAGGACCAACATTTATTCGCTAAACATATCCTGCTTCTGTGGAACTATCAGTGGGAACTATAATTAAAGTTTTAGTTCAAGGAGGCAAATCATGTAATGGATATATACAAGCAAAAGGTTTTTCTCTTTCCCAAGTTCTAATATACCAGTTAAATTATCTTTAAATTTTATGGTTGCTTTCTGCTGTAACAAAAATGAAACTCCTAAAATTCCAATTTATTTTGTAGGAAAATTATTTTTCTCAATATTAAAACTAATGGGAACATTAACATAAACTAAGGTAATCTCTCCTACTGTATAGATTACTCCTGCATCAATTCCAGTAAGACCATAAATTTTGTACTTATTAATATTTAAATCTGATTTTAATCCTTTTTGTTTAATTAGATTTAATTGATAATGAGTGTCAACAATATGGAAACTGATGTGAGATAAAGAAATTACAGGGGATCGTTTTATTTTATTTAAATCGAACTACAACAGATTTGGAAGATTTGGTGCATACAATATTTCGGTCAGCATTGCACCTGTTCACAGGTCACTCATCAAGTTCAAATTACATAATCCATTTAAAAATGTTCTAATTACTTTCTCAGCGAAGAGAGAAATTAGCAAACCTAAGGGTTCAAAAGGATGCATATCTTTCAGATTTTGAATTCCCCTATATGATATAATTTCCACTTTTTTACCAAAATCATTTATACTTTTGCACATTCTGTGTCAACATCTCATTAATTCATTTTAATTTTCGTTCATCACTACATACTAAAATTAGATTTGTATGCTAATTTCATTAACTTAATTAATTCCTAAACAGTTTTGGAAGATTTATTTTTAATTATTCTGATAAAACGTTTCGGAGAGAGATATTTATGATATGTTGACTCTCTTTCAGGATTTAATAATGGGAAAACAGAAAAAAAGATTATAATAGGACAATTCCTAAATCAACCTCTTATAATTCTGATTGTACAGACATTTGATTGAAATTGCTAGTATCTATCAAATTTTTTTATACATGAAGATGGCTATTT